TAACAGTTTAAAACAACAACTTTGGGATTGGAGAGATGGCTCAGTAGTTAAGAGTGCTGGATGCTCTTCCAGAGTAACAAATTCAATTCCCAGCATCCATATGGTCGCTCATAACCATATGTAACTCCAGTTCCAGGGGATCCAATAACACCATCTTCTAGCCTCTTTAGGCACCACATACATACATGATGCACACAAACACAGAGATAATTTAAACATAAAATAACAGAGAGAGAGAGAGAGAGAGAGAGAGAGAGAGAGAGAGAGAGAGCTTTGAATTGCTGTCTCTCAAATTCCTGAGGCTGTCTTGAGCTCAGCTCCATACCTTTTCTCAGGACCTCTCATGTGGTTGGTTGCAACCAGGTGATAGCTGGCTGAAACTGTCATGAGGAGTTCGTAGCTCCCATGGCTGTTGACTGAGGCCAGTGGTCAGCTGGGACCTTAGCTGGTGCTATTAGCTAGAATCACCTAGAAGAGTCTCAGTGGGGGGATTCTCTACATTGGGTGGGCCCATGAGGAACTGTCTGAAATAAGTTATTGATGTGGGATGACCCAGCCCACTGCAGGAGGCGCTATTCCCTAGGCAGGGCTTACAAAAAAAAAAAAACTATATGAGAATAGAAAAGCTGGGCATAGTGGTATATACCTTTGATCCCAGCACTTGGGAGGCAGAGGCAGGCAGATCTCTAGAGTTTAAGGCCAGCTTGGTCTACATAGTGAGTTCCAGGCCAGTCATAGCTACCTAATGGACTCTGTTTGAAAATGTAGAAATCAATTTGAGCAAGCAAACAAGTGAGCATGCATGCGTTCATTTCTGTCTGAATTTTTTTCCTTTTAGTTTTTCAAGACAGGATTTCTTTGTGTAGCCCTGGCTGTCCTGGAACTAGCTCTGTAGACCAGGCTGGCTTAGAACTCACAGAGATCTGCCTGCCTCTGCCTCCCAAGTGCGCCACCACTGCCCAGCTTCTCTTTGCAATTTTTTTTAAAAGATTTATTTATTTATTATGTACACAGAAGAGGGAGCCAGATCTCATTACAGATGGTTGTGAGCCACCATGTGGGTGCTGGGAATTGAACTCAGGACCTCTGGAAGAGCAGTCGGTGCTCTTAACCTCTGAGCCATCTCTCCAGCCCCTCTTTGCAATTTTTTTTTTTTTTTTTTTGGTTTTTCGAGGCAGGGTTTCTCTGTAGCTTTGTGCCTTTCCTGGGACTCACTTGGTAGCCCAGGCTGGCCTCGAACTCACAGAGATCCTCCTGCCTCTGCCTCCCGAGTGCTGGGATTAAAGGCGTGCGCCACCACCGCCCGGCCTCTTTGCAATTTTTAAAAAGACTTATTGTGTGTATGTGTGTCTGTCTGTTGGTCTGTCTGCTTGAGTTTATATGCACCACACATGCACAGAAGCCCGTGGAGGTCAGAAGTTGTCAGATTGCCTGGAACTGGAGGTATAGGTGGTTGTGAGTCACCTGATGTGGGTGCTGGGAACAGAACCGGGGTCCTCTGGAAGAGCAGCAAGTGCTGTTAACCACTGAGCTGTCGCTCCAGCCGCTCCGCTCTCTTCTCTGTGGCTATGACATAACTGGCTGTACTGACTTCCTGCTGCCTTGACTTCACACCGTGAGGCACTGTGACCTAGTGCTGTGAGCTAAAGAGCCCTGCTCCTCCTTAGGTTGCTTTTGTCGGGCCGTGTTATCACAGCAGCAGAGACGGCTACGTGCATCTCTCCATGAAGCCTGGGCTCTGTCATTGTAGCATGGCAGCTGATCCATGAGGACAAGCATGCTGAGAGAATCGGGGAGAAGCTGGCTTGCCTTTCGAACCCGGGACCCATGAGACCTTCACAGGACTTCCCTTGGACTTTGAGACCTTCACAAACCTTCCAGCATTTCAAAGAAAGGAGTCAGAGTGACTTCTTGGAAGAGTTTATGGCATGCAAGTCTGGCAAGCATGCTTTGCAAAAACACAATTTGCAGCAAGTGCGAAGGACATTTCAGGTGTTATTTTGTGGCTGTTGCGTCTGGAAATGCCTTCTCTGAGACCCAGCTTCTTAACTGGGTACATGAGTCCGTAGAGGTGGTGAAAAGGATTGGCAACAATAAAGGGTTCTGAAGGCACAACTACAATCCAACTGTGACTTTCCTGCAGCCTGGGCCCTGACATATCGTTCCATCTCACCAGGGAACTCTGCCTGAAACAGGTTGGCTCAGATTCCATACCACGTTACGAATGTCGATGTGTTTACTGTACACATTACTGAAATGTAATCGCTTCATCGGAAAGCAAGGACTGAACATTTTCCCACCACCCATACTCTGTGTGTGCGTTTCAGTTAGTGTAGTTTTGGATTGTACTGTGTTAGAGTGTTTGTTGTTTTTTAATTGCTGGTTGAATTGCTGGCTTGAGTTTTGTTAAAAGGTGTTCAATGGATTTTGACTGGGAATTAGGACAGAATTTCCAATCAGTTTTGAAACACATTTTCCTGCCATTCTGTACTGTATGTTTAGGAAAAGTGGAGTTCTCTGCATTGATGGCTAGAAAATCTAAACATTGACCAGCTCTGAAAAGCATTCATGTTGTTCTATATCAAATATGCAGCTATATTTACTTGTTCATGTGAAGATAAACACACCTATCCCATCCGTCTGCACACTTGCTTTCGTCTTTAATAAATGGCAAAATGATACATATCCCAAAGAAATGCTTTAAAATTATTTTTTATGAAAACAATAAGTAAATGTTCCATTGGCTTACCTAATTTATACATCTCTATCTCTAAGGTCTATTAAACATTTCTTTTTTTTGTTTGTTTGTTTGTTTTTTTTTTTTTGTTTTTTTTGAGACAGGGTTTCTCTGTGTAGCTTTGAGCCTTTCCTGGATCTTGCTCTGTAGACCAGGCTGGCCTCGAACTCACAAAGATCCACCTGCCTCTGCCTCCCGAGTGCTGGGATTAAAGGCGTGCGCCACCACCGCCCGGCTTATTAAACATTTCTTAAGCAATGGGCTGGCAGATGGTTTGATCCACTGACTCCCAAAAGTTGTCCCCTGAGCTCCACATGAGTGCTGTGGCACACACACACACACACACACACACACACACACACACGCACACACGCACATGCACGCACGCACACACACACGCACACACCACAGATAAATGTTTAAAAAGTTTTCTCAGGCAAAAAAAAAAGGGGTCATGAATGGAAAAGCTTAAGAGACCTTGTTCTAAGAGAGAACGTAGTTTTCATGGAATGTCAAGAGAAAACAGAGTTTAGAAAAAACTGTTCAGCCGTCTTCACAAAGACTCGTGAAAAACGCCTGCTGAAGTGGCGAGGGCTTGACATGAATGGCCTAGACCAGTAGGCTGAGACAGCGGAGTAACCACCATTGAGGAGGCCATCTGGTGAGTTCTGCCAAGCTGGCTATTGGAGGCTATTTCTTTTTCTTTTCTTTCTTTTTTTTTTTTTAATGATGTCCAAACCCTAATTCTTTTTTTTTCTTTTTTTAATTTAATTTAATTTTATTTTGCAATACAATTCAGTTCTACATATCAGCCACGGATTCCCTTGTTCTCCCCCTCCCGTCCCCCTCACCTTCCCCCCAGCCCCCCCCCCCCATTCCCCCTCCTCCAGGGCAAAGACTCCCCCGAGGACTGAGATCAACCTGGTAGACTCAGTCCAGGCAGGTCCAGTCCCCTCCTCCCAGGCCGAGCCAAGCGACCCTGCATAGGCCCCAGGTTTCAAACAGCCAACTTATGCAATGAACAAAGGACCCAGTCCCACTGCCTGGATGCCTCCCAAACAGATCAAGCCAATCGACTATCTCACCCATTCAGAGGGCCTGATTGGAGGCTATTTCTAAGTTGTATCTTGGAGCACAGCAGGGGTGCATGGAGAGGGCTGAACACAGCAGGGGTGCATGGAGGGGACTGAACTGGAAGGCCACCATTAATTAGAAGTGACAGTGTTTCAAGAGAGATAAGATGTGTCCACAAATAACCACCGCACATGATGGCTGGTGGTAGCTGTCAGTTTGGGGTAAAACAGACACAGGGGTCAGTCATTAATTAAGCAAAAGCAAGAACTGGCCTAAAGATAAGACCCAGCACGGTACTGAATGGCTTAAGACCACAATCAACAGCTTGAGGCTTCGATGCAGGATGCTGTATGTCAATCTCCAGCCTTATAGGGAAGGATGCAGGAGTCTGAGTAAAGCCCTGACAGGTGAGGAATCCTGGGAGTTTGTGCCTAGCTGTCTGTGAAGGGAGGTGTTTGCTGACCGACTCCCTGTGGAGTGTCTCAGCTGTGAGCTTCTGCCTTTTAAGGTCTGGGCCCCAGAGGAGCTAGATAAGACCTTCCTTCTCTATAAGGACTCTGGGACCCAGTCTGGATGGGAGGGGGACTTGCTATGGTTTCCATATGGACTGGGTGTGCCCACCTTCCCACCCCAGGCTCTGTAAATTGAAATTTAATCCTCATTGTGGAGGGGAAAAGAGTAGAAATTTAATCCAACTTTGGTACTTAGAGTTGGGGCCTTTGGGACATGATAGGGACCAGATAAGGTCATTAGGATAGGGGACCCATGATTAATCCTGGTGTCTTTGTTAAAGGAGAGAGTCTGAAAGAAACACAAACAGACCCATTCCCTGTCCTCTGTCACACGAAGCCCTGTACCACGTCAGGACACAGCAGGAAGCCATTGCCAGATGTGCCCCTGACCCAGACCTCTAGAATTACATTGTGAAATGTCTTTTCTTTCTGACCTGCCCACCCCGTGTCATTGTGTTACTGGAGACAGGAAATGGGTCAACACAGGACCTAAGGTACCTTCGTCTGGCTGGGTGTTCTTCAGCTGTTCAGGAGCTCAGAGGCCCCTTCACCTAAGTCACAGATTTATTTTTTTTAAACAAAAAAGCACAGGGTTTTATTTCTATACCATTGGGCAAGGCTCGGCAGGACAGGGAGCAGGCTCTCATAGAGGGAAGAGGCCTCTACTCTACTCTACTCTACTTGCCGGCGATGAGCTGGTTCCGCAGCACCACAATGACCGAATCCCCTTGCAGGAACATATTGGAGATGTATCGGTCCTTGTTAACAGGCTTGGACTTCTTCTTACCTTTGCTGCTCTTGGGGACCTCAGTCCACATCTCTGCTGTGGGATGTTCTGTATGTCAAATGTGTTGCTCTGTTTGGTTAATAAATAAAACACTGGCCAGTAGCCAGGCAGGAAGTATAGGCGGGACTAACAGAGAAGAAAATTGAGAGAACAGGAAGGCAGAGAGACACCGCCAGCCACCGCCATGACAAGGAAGCTATAAGGTACCGGTAAGCCACAAGTCACGTGGCAAAGTATAGATTAATAGAAATGGGTTAATTTAAGATATAAGAACGGTTAACAAGAAGCCTGAGCCATTAGGCCAAACAGTTTAAATAATATAAGCGTCTGTGTGTTTATTTTATAAGTGGGCTGTTGGACTGCCGGGGCTTGGCGGGACCGGGAGAGAAAACTCTCTAGCTACACATCTCTTTCACATTCTCCAGCACCATGTTGCAGTGCCTGTCAAAGGCCTTCACTCGTCCCAGGAGCTTCTCATTGTTGCGACAGTTAACGTGCACCTGTGTGTTGTTCTTGACTGACTGGTCAGCACCAAGAGGGGACCTGTGTTGAATTCCTCCTCCTCCTGCTTCTGCAGCTCCTCTGGGGTCATCTCACTCTTGGGTTTATTGAGGAGACTCATGGTGGAGGTTTCACTCGCAGATCACTCCCGCCTCCACCACGTTGCTCTGGCCTCTGGAGTAGCTAAGTCACAGACTTTTGTGCCTTTAGATTAGGTTTCTTCTTCATGGATTGGGACATATTCAAGTGGTCCCAACAAAAGCCCCTTTGCTTCCAAATGCCAAGGAGAATCAAGGGCTTGGCAGCTTTCAGGACAGGACTGTCTTGGTCAGCTTGAGGAAGCTCAGTGCTAAACAGTATGTGGCCCATAGGAAGTATCTGAGGAAGGCAGAGGGGGAAATATGGAGGACAGATGGGAAGAGAGTCAGATGATATGTGAAAGGTTTCCGTACCTTGATAAAAGTTTCTCCACCGATGCAGTAAGCCAGATCAATCCAAATTAAAAGTAAAAGACCAGGTGTATTGGGCAAAACACTCCTGGGTGACATTCCAGCCCCCAGAGATGAGGAAGGGAAAGGGGGCAGGAGAGAAATCACACCACCATTCTAAAGGAGAGGGCTTAAATACCCTGTAGGAGCAGGATGATGACGTGTCCTCCACAAGATGGATTTGTACCTAATTAAATGCTTTGGGTAGGGACTGGGGGGCTGGCAGCCTCAGGGGAGGAACTGCTTCTTGGTGGCTTTTCTGAGAGGGCAGGATTTGGAGAGACAGAACTGGGGCCGAGCTGGAGGTTCCAGCTGAACAATATGAATACTTGTGCCATTTGTCAAATTAGACCCAATCAGCTCACTCACTCCAAGAGAATTGTTGATGAAACCCTGTTACCCACACAGACACATGGTGTATGATAGCCTTAAAAAAACAAAACAAAACAAAACAAAACCCAACAACAACAACAACTCCCCCCCAAAATTACAGAGATATAATCCACACGCTGCATGCTTTTCCCATTTAAAGCACAGACTCTAACAACAGCTCTTAATAGGCACTTATGTATTTACAGCTTTATAATCACAGTCTATTTTAGAACATTTGTCAAACTAATCAGAACCTGGATCCTCTAGCTATCACTCCCAGGCTCAGGCCCCAACCTCCTAAGCTCTCTAATCCACTTTGTGTTTCTATTGATTTGGGTGTTTTGAACATGACCTATACTATACAATGTGGCCTTGGTGAGTTTCATTCAGCAAGTTTTCCGGGTTCACCCACGTGGTAGAATCATCAGCAATTTGTTTTATTTTAGATTTATTTATTTTGTGTGTAAGAGTGTTTCGTCTGGTACCCATGGAAGTCAGAAGGAAGTGTTGGATTCCCTGGAACTGGAGTTCCAGATGGTTGCGAACCACCATCTAGGTGCTGGGAATCAAACCCAGGTCCTCTGCAAGAGCAGCAACTGCTCTTAACCACTGAGATGTATCTCCAGCCACTCCCCCCTTTTTAATGTGTGTAGGTGTCTTTTCTATATAAACATCTGTGCATCACATGTGTGCAGTGCCCACAGAGACCAGAAGGGACAGGAGTTACAGATGCTTGTGAGCTGCCATGTGGGTAATGGGAATTGAACCCAGGTCCTCTGGAAGAGTAGCCGTGGCTCTTAACTACTGAGCCATCTCTCCAGCCCCACTTTGCTCTTTTCTAGTGTCAAATAACTTATCATTGCATGATAGGCAACATTTTATTTATCCACTTATCAGTCCTAAACATCCAGTTTGGCTCTGGGTTTCAGCCTAAACATGGATATTTTGAACGTGGATATTCATGCACAAGGGTGCTTTTTTTGGGGCGGGGGATGAGAGGGTGCCTGTGTATGCACTGTTTCTCTTAGGTATATAGTGAGGACTGGACCAGCTGGGTCATATGGTAACTCTTAAAGTTTAGCCCTTACAGGACTTGCAAACTGCATTCCAAAGCAACAGCAATGTTTCGCACCCCACTAGCAAGATATAAAGGTTTTTGTTTCCCCAATCCTCATCACCGCCTGTCATTGTCAGTCTTCATTACAGCTGTCCTAGAGGGTCTGAAGCAGTCTCTCACTGAGGTCCTGACAGTATTTTCATGGTAGCTGAGGATACAGCACATCCTTTCATGTGCTTATTACCATTGATGTCTTCTTTGAAGAAACATGTTCAAACTCTTTATTTATTTATTCATTTATTTATTTGTTTGTTTGTTTGTTTATTTATTATTTATTTATTGAGACAAGGTCTCACTATGTAGCCCTGGTTGACTTCCACCTGCCTCCTGATTACTGGAATTAAAGAAATACACCATCACAGTTAGTGAGACCCTTTAATTATTTTTAAATTACATCATTTGCCTTTTTCCTATTGAATAACAACTGTATCTCAGGCTGACCTTGAACTTGTGAACCTCCTGCCTCATCATCCCAAGTGCAGGAATTACACACTTGCTAATCCACGAGCCCTGAAGAACATTTTAAAATGTGTATATTCTTGAGTTTATGTGCACCCCATAAGTGCAGGTAGCCAAAAAAGGCAGAGTGCATCAGACTCCCTGGAACTAGAGTTCTAGGTAGTTGTGTGTTGCCCGGTGTTAGTGTTGGGAACCAAACCCAAGTTGTGTGTGGTAAGTGCATTAACCACTGAGCCATCTTTCCAGCCCAAAGAATATTTCTTTTTCCTTTTCCTTTTCTTTTCTTTTTGGTTGTGAGTGTTTTTTTTTTAGGGGATGGTTGTTTGTTTGTTTCAGACAAAGTTTCTCTGTGTCGGCCCAGATGTCCTAGAACTCACTCTGTTGACCAGACTGGTCTCAGACTCAGAGATCTGCCTGCTTCTATCTCCCAAGTGTTGGGATTAAAAGTGTATGCCACTCACCCCCACAACAAAGAATATTTCTTAAATGACTTGTTTAATCAGATGCTTTCATTAAATGCACTCCTGCTTCTAGCCCAGAAGCAGAAATAGGTGTAGCAGGCTTTTTCCTTTGGGCCACCAACCAGCTCCCAAATCATGACGCAGAGACTTATTAGTTATGAGTGCTCTTACTTTATGTTTTGCCTCGGGTTTTTTACCTTCCTTCCTTCCTTCCTCCCTCCCTCCTTTCCTTCCTTCCTTCCTTGCTTCCTTCCTTTCTCCCTCCCTCCCTCCCTCCCTCCCCCTCTCTCTTTCTCCTTCTTTCTTTCTTTCTTTCTTTCTTTCTTTCTTTCTTTCTTTCTTTCTTTCTTTCTTTCTTTCTTTCTTTCTTTCTTCTTTCTTTCTTTCTTTCTTTCTTTCTTTCTTTCTTTCTTTCTTTCTTTCTTTCTTTCTTTCTTTCTTCTTTCTTTCTTTCTTTCTTTCTTTCTTTCTTTCTTTCTATCCTGCTCTCCTGCTTTCTCCATGTCTGGCTGGCAGCTACCTGGCTTCTGGCCCTGAGTGTGTACATCCTTTTCTCCCTCTTTCTCTTGTTCTCTTCTCTTGAGCCTAGATTTCTCCTCTCCTTATTCTCCCTGCCTGCCAGCCCCGCCTAGCCCTCTCCTGCCCAGCTACTGACCATTCAGCTTTTTGATAGACCAGTCTGGTGCCTTAGGCAGGCAAGATGAAACAAATGTAACACATCTTTACATCATTGACAAAGGCAGCAGAAACAAATGTAACACAACTTTACAGCATTGACAAAGGCAGCAGAAACAAATGTAACACAACTTTACACAGTTAAAGTAATATTCCATGGCATAAATAACTGTAACACATCTTTACACAGTTAAAGTGATATTCCACAACAAACATGGGTTTTCCTATTTAAAATAACAGCAAAAACCAGAAGGGGGGAGGGGGGGTTGAGGAGATGGCTCCGTGGGCAAAGTGCTTGCCTGAGCAGTGAAGGAAGACACCTAACAACAACTTCTGGCGCTACACAGGCACACATGGTCATCTACACCTGCACAGACATATGCATACACGTGTATCAAATACACACACACACACACAGAGAGAGAGAGAGAGAGAGAGAGAGAGAGAGAGAGAGAGAGACAGAGACAGAGACAGAGAGAGACAGAGACAGAGAGAGAGACAGAGACAGAGAAATAAGCCATATTAAAAACCTTAATACACCCCACATATGGCACCAAGGCCGAATGACTTTGAGGAAGGAGAGACAATTGAGGGAGCCCTGGGTTGCCCTGGGTTGCCTGTCAAGGGCTCCCAGGCCACAGCGCAGCAGAGAAGAACATTCCCTGAGTCACAAAGGAGCCAAGAGTCTAGGGAGACAGAACTCACAGGGCACAGGAATGAGATGCTGCCTGGAGTTCACGCAGCTCTCCAGAGGCTCTGCTTCCGAAGTTCAGTGTGTGAGTCTGCACACTCCCAGGAAGAAGCATCTCTGAGGCTGGGGGAGAAAGCACGGGAAGGATGCTATGAAGCAGAGCCGGAGCAGGGCCAGTGTCTGCATTCGCCAGAAGAAGTGGAAAGCGGGGAGTCACCAGTGAGCAGAGTGGGAGAAGGGTCTACCCCAGCAGGATGACCCTAGCCCCAGACTGAGTTAACTCACCCTTCAGTTCTTAACAGCGATTCCCCAAACCCAGCCATGTCCCAGCACAAAGTTCAAGCATTTATATAGGAATACAGTTAATCAGGACCATATTCTGTGTGTTCAGAAAGTTCTGCTGAAATATGAAAAATAAAAAAATAACTTTTATAGAAATATTATAATGACATTGCAGAAGAAAATAACTTGTGTACTCAAAGACATAGCCATAAAAACCATCTGTAACAGGACACAGAGGATGAAGATATTGTTTCTGCGTGTCCGTCTGTGTGTGCATGTGTCTGTCTGTGTGTGCTCCCATGTGCCTGCATGCGGAAGGCAGAGGACATGAGTGTCTTCTTCCATCACCCTCCGCCTTGCTCACTTGAGACAGGGGTCTCTTACTGAACTTAAACTGCGGCGTCAGCTAAGCGGACTGGCCCAGGCTCTCAGGATCTGTTCTTCCCCAGTGCTCAGGTGACAGGCCCGTGTAACCATGCCGGGCTCTTATGTCGGTGCTGGCACTCCAAACTCAGCAAATTCAAACTCAAGACTGTACAGCAAATTCTGACCCCCTGAGGCTCAGAGCCCAGGATA